TCTCTTGTGCTTTTTCACTTTCAAATATTGTGTGTGTCTAACTCTGATCTTATTTTGCATAAAGATCACCTTTATTTGGCTCTGGCCTTTAGTGCTCCTGTTTCTAGTTAAATCTCAAAAAAACAAGATGATCAAAGGCTAGTTGACCTTGTAAACTACAGGACCATCTCTGCAGAGCTCCTTGACCACATCTCCCTCTTTGATCTCCCTTCCCTGTGACCTGTTGAACTTCCCCCTGGTGACAGTCCCTTCTCCATTCCTTCAGCAGTTTATCAGTGAGCACCAGAGTAGCATCTCTTAACCAAGTATTGGAGTTCCTGAGTCCTAGATTTTATGTGGTCTCTGAACTATTTTCAGTCATTGTAGTTGTTTGGGTTTCTTTAGTTAGTCCCATAAAGACATTGCTGCCTTCCCAGGCAGAGCTTGAAAATGGGGTTAGAAACCATCATATAAAATATACAGTATAAAATTATTTTCTCTAGCGTGTCATCATTTACGACAATTTAGAAATTTTTAGTCCAGAATTGCCACATAATCAAGTAATTTATGCATTATTTAGGTTACAAAAGTATTTAAACAATTACATTTAGAAGGTGCTAACTAGTTTTATACTAATTTTATGTGTGTATCTTAGGAAAATACTACCTTAAAATATATAATTAGAAATAGAGAGCTCCTAATGATCATCAGCTATATTTATTCACTACATACTCTAGTTGATTGCCATGTCAAAAAAAAAAAATACAAAAAACATTGCCAAGGATTTGCTTACCTAAATAGGTGTTCTTTGGCAGGGGAGCGAAGGGGGGGAGGGGAGGAGATCTCAATTGCTGCTGCAAAAGTTGATTTCATGTTCTGAGAAATGACTGCAACACTCATGGCCTACATTGAAATTTTTTGTCACAGTGTTCTTCTTTGAGGAGCATATGGTAGCTTCAGAATCCTTTTTGACACAGTGCTTCCAAGGCAGCCACTACCAGTCCATTAACATTAGTCCGTTAACATTAATGTTAATGTCCATTAACATTAGCTAGAGAAATAAACCAGTTTCTCTGCCTTTCCCTGCGTAGATGCTGGTTGTTTTTAGGGACCCAGTGCCTGCAAGGCATAATGATTGCCACTAGATGGAACTAGTGCTTTGTCCTTAAAGCCCAGGTATGTCTGATCTGTTCCATTTGAGGCCTTTATACACCTAAATACCCCACGTTGTTTTTAACCACTCATAGCAGCTGTTGAGTTAGTTTCTCAGTCCAGCTGGTGAAAACTTATCTCTGTATCCTTGTACTTGATGTTCAAAAACTAAAAATCTCAGGAAGAAAATAAAAGGTCATATTCTTGTCTTGCCTTGTTGCCAGAGACCATTTTTGTTCTTTGATGTCTGTAGTATTATATTTCCCTTTTAGTGTTGCTTCCATGTTATTCCAGGAAGATACTTTTCCTAATTCTCTTTTTTTTCTTACTCAATTTTTCTGAGTCTTAGTTTCCTCATTGGTAAAGAGGGGTTAAGAATACACATCCAGGAGAGTTATTGTAAAGATTAAAAGTGATTTACTTAAAATATTATATTTTTAAATATATATGGATTTTTTTAGCATTTTAATAGCATCATTGCCAGGTTTGGGCTGTTACAGGCATACTGTATGCTTTTTTAAAAATATAAGACAAAGTTTAGGAACTACTTTTCCTTTATTTTTGTTAAACTGAAAAATTCCACCACTGACTTGTCAATAACAGTATTCTTTGCCCATGTCTTGATCTGAATTCAGGAGTAGTTCACCATTCATATTTATGATTGTAAAAACCTTTTATTTTGGTTCGGCTCCCCTCAAAGAGCTAAATTATTCAACATTTTGTCCTCAATGGACTGTTTAAGCTCTGCAGCCCAGCTCTTGCAGTAAGTAGCCTTTGAGTACCTGCAGTGCTGCTAATATTTTCTATACTCAGTTTTAATTTTTAGGTATAAAACTTGTTCTGCCTTCTCTGTACTGCCAAGAATGCTTTGCCTTCACCAGAATATAAATGGTTTAAAGATCCATCTACCTCTTTAACTTCATGCTTTCTCTAATCTGAGTGCTAAGCATATATTAGGAACTGTCACTTGTGTTTACTCTATATCACTGTTTACTAATGAAACACAATGCCATAGAAGAACAAGACAATGAATTATCTTGTGGCCTTCGTGTTCCTCTGTTGTTAGGTTTCTTCATCAGTTTGAGGCTTTAAGCCTTAATTGGAACTCTAAGTACACTGAATAAATTGAGATGATTGTGAATTCCAAAGATAATGTTTCCATTTCACATGCCCCAGTCTCCTGTTCTGTCTACCGACACTGTAATCAAGGCCCAGGGTCTTATTTAAGCTAACAAATAATTATCCTTCATTACATAAGTAGTATGTAACTTGACCTTAAAAGGCTGTGTAACTTGACAAGATGGCAATGAATCTAGCCACCAGCTGTGTCTACCTTCATACTGTCCTGGTACCTGAGAATAGAAGCTGATTTTGGAAGAGACTGGGGGAGTCCTTGCCTCACACTTCCCTCTCTATCTGGAACGTTTTGGTGGTCTTGGGCCATGGAACTGCATGGTCTTGCACAAATTTTGATTCCCTTTGGGTTCAGAATCTATTTAAAATATGCACTTTTTGCTTGCAGACCACAAGCTATTTAGACATACTTAACATTTTCTGAGATGTACTCATTGCTTATCTTATCTTTGAGTACTGCTAAAACTGGATAAAAACAAAACCTGAATATGAGACGTGGATGATATATGTAAGATTGTTGGGAAATAGATAATGTATTTAAAATACTATAGGTATTACAAATGGACTAATGTGATTTTAAAAAAAACAAGATTTCAGTAAAGATTTCTTTGAACTTGAAGCAGCAAAGAATTAAGCATGAAAACAATGGAAAGATCAGGAGAAAATAAATGTTAGATTTAAATTAATATACAAATTAAAAAGCTTCACTGTGTTGAAAATCAAGATATTGTGTTAAAAAGTATATGTGTGTGGCAAACAAAGATGTGAAATTTTTAATGTATAAAAAACTCTTGAGCAACTAATAAGGCACACTAAGATAAGAGCAATATTGTAGTTATTATTAACAATAATACTAATTTTTTAAAAATGTTATGATATTCTAGATATGCTTCTGAGGATTTGCATGTATTTTAATCCTTATAATAATTCTTTGAGGTAGATACTATTATTTCATTTTACAGGTGAGGAAACAGAGGCACAGGGACATTAAGTAACTTGCCCATGCTTATACAGCTAGTGAGTAGCTAGTAAATTGTGTGTTTCTGTGAAAATGAAAGTGTGGTTCTGCGTCCATTCTCTTAACCATTATCCTATGGTGCTTAAAATAGGCAAAGGACAAGAAAGGAAATTTTTATTAAGAACTAAAATGACTCAAAAAGATGAAAAATTTTCACTTTCACTAATAACACAAATGCAAATTAACATAAAAGTGAAGTATTATTTTCTCTTAAAAATGGAGTGTTGAGTGAGAAATTTTCACGGAGTGGTGGTAGGAATGTATTTCTTCAGTATGGAGCTGGAGTGCTTGTCTCATTTGACATACTTAGCCACTAGCCTCTCCTGGCAGAAGGCTTGGGGATCAATGCTACAAGGCTGAGCTGGAAGTTCTCCTGCTTGTGGAAGTCAGGAATGTGCCATTGCCTTGGTCACCCTTCTGGAAAACTCTGGAGAAGGTATCCCACAGTCAGGTTTTTTTTGTTTGTTTTTTGTTTTGTTTTGTTTTGTTTTTAGATTTCATTTATTTATAAGAGACACAGAGAGAGCGAGAAGCAGGCTCCATGCAAGGAGCCTGATGTGGGACTCGATCCCTGGACTCCAGAATCACAGTCAGGTTTTTAAACTGTAAGTATGCAGTTGGTTGCGTTACTGGCTCTAAGATAACATAGTGTGCAATGCTGTCTTTTCTCAAAATGAGTAGGGTTTGGCCAGTAACAACTGCATGTATGTATAGGAGGATGGTTTGTTTTAAAGGCTTTCTTTTGAGGAAGTCCCTCTGAAGAAGATTGCCAGGGTTTCAGCTTTGATAATAAGTTTTACATGATAAGTTTTTTGTGGCATTATGAAATCTGAGAGAAATTTCATGAAGCTGCGCTCAGTAGCCTCAACTGTTGACAAATGATTCTTGATGTTTAGTTTGGTACAAGATGCAGGGAATATAGGTCTCCTTCCTTTATTCAAACTCAGTAAATGGTTTGGGACAATTAATTTCCAATTGTTTCCCAGTAGAGCAGATTTACTTGTATATTAATGAGGCACAGGTGTTAGGCCCCTGGTGTCTGCGTGCCTGGGAGGCATATTTCAGTTGTTTATCTACTCAGCCATAGGTACTGCAAGGTACTCAAGCTTGCCTTTAACAGTTTTTACAGTGAGGCTTTTTAATTTTTTGATGTTTTTTTCAAATTTGCCTGCACCTGTTAAAATTTTAAAACTGATCATGTAGAAAGAAGTTGCAGAGATTTCAATAGTAAGTAGCACTAAAAGTTAAAGAAAGTAGTTTATTCAACTCTGCAGCCTGACACTAAAGAGAAATGGGTTCATTTAAACAGATATTTCATGTGAGAAGTTAATATAATGTTATCCTTTTTTGCTATGTATTTTTGGAGCGGGCATGTCTTTGTCAATGGCTAAAGCAGTCATATATTTATATTAATATTCATATTTTTTCTTGTTTCACTGAACTGCGCTACCAGCATTTTAGAGGAGATGGAATAGCCTCCTTAGACATTATGAATTTCAGTAGCTGGCATAATTATAGCGATCTACATATTCATTAAATCTACAGAAGAACTGTGTCCAAAAAGACAGCCATGCGTTCAGAAACAGTACACAACTAAATATATACGTTTTAAAAGTTGCATTTCTTAGACTTATTTAAAATTAATTTCCTGTAGCATTCCTCTCCAAGCAGAGAATTTTAACAAAAGGATCCCTATGCTTTGGTTTCTTGCATATAGGAAAGAATGGGAAGAACTATTTGTAAACAACAATTACTTGGCAACAATAAGGCAGAAGGGGATTAATGGGCAGCTGAGAAGCAGCAGGTTCCGCAGCATTTGCTGGAAGGTAAGAAGAAAATATTTATTTACAGTTTGTGGTTGCAGTATATCAACACATTACCTGATGCCCTGGGAGATTACCCATGCAGGGGATCACTGAATTTTCCAGGAGACTTGACTCTCGATTTTTTGGCCATCCAAGTTTATCTTTCATAGGACATTTACTAATAAGGTTGAACCACCTTAGTCCCGAATAAGTGGTGATGGTAAAGGAGTTATTTGAAATAACTGTTCTTTCATCTCATTTGATGGAGCAGAATTCAAAGCAACACCTTTATGTTCCCCAGAGGCTTCTGCAGAAATCCTTGAAGCCGGGCAGGAGCAGACCGGGATTTACTTCCAGCTTCCCACTGTATCAAGTGCAGCCGTTTAGTACCCCCACCCCCACCCCTTTGCCTCAGAAACAGCAGATGGAAAAGATATCTCTCTCTCTCTCTCTCTCTCTCTCTCTCTCTCTCTCTCTCTCTTTTCCACTGGAAACCTAAAGTGAAGGACAGCAGGAAAGAGAAATGGAAAAAAATTAGGTCAATCTCTTAAGAGAAAGGGCCATTGATTACCAAAACTAGTAATAATCTGCAGTTATCTTTTGTAATTGCCTGGCAATATTGTCCCTTTTTGTTCTCTCAAAATGAATTAATTGAGGTTTAGATTTATTTCTGAAATGACTTCTATTGAAAGTTTTTTAGGTTTTATCTGCATAAATTGAACATAAAGAGTCTGTGCAAGTAAGGACAGTAAGAAACGCATGATGTATTAGACAGTTTTAGATTTAATAATTTAGAGTTAATAATTAAAATACATTTTTCTTCTGTTAGATGCAGGCAGTAAAGACAGGAGACCTGCTGCTAGAATATTTGTATACAAATATTCATGCCCCACCCCCCATTCCTTGTTGTTTAACTTTTAGTATCCTTCGTTGGCTAAAAATAAACTCAAATCCAGATTTATTTTATTGTTGTATTAAACTAAATTAAATCAAATTTGTCTTTTTAAAAATGCTTGTTATTTTCATAAGCCAATTGCCAGTTGTAAATTACATTTCTGCCGTAAAAGAAATAACTTCACATCTGAAGCCCTGCCCTCAGGTTGTTGTTCTCCATCCTTTACCTGCCTGTTTTAAGACAAATCTTAAAACTTGAAATTAATCATTGGACTTGGTGTCTGTCAATACCTGCATTAATATAAGACTGTAAAATGGGAATTATACTTGAACCTCAATGCATTCTTGTTCATTTTTAATATAAATGTGGACGGGAGCTTGAGTCACTTCCGTGGTGTACCTTTTGGGATCATGTTCATTTGGCCTTTGCTCAGTTTTTGAATTGTCCAAATATATATAAACATTCCCAAATATAATTTATTGGGAATTGGAATGATACAAATATGGAATACTCTGAATATGAATATCACTTTCAATTTTCAGGTGATTCTGTTTGGCATAGTTTTACATGTTACTTGTTAGGATTTTTACGGAAGTTTCCCCTTTTTTTTCTTGACAGCTATTTCTTTGTGTTCTTCCTCAAGATAAAAGCCAGTGGATAAGTAGAATTAAAGAATTAAGAGCATGGTATAGCAACGTTAAAGAAATAGTAAGTTGTACTTTAATTAATGTAATTGTTTTCTTATGTATACTTTAAAGTCCAGTAACTCTGATTTTTGTGTGTTTTCTTCCTTTCTTTGCCAGCACATCACAAACCCAAGGAAGGTTGTTGGCCAGCAAGATTTGATGATCAATAATCCCCTTTCACAGGATGAAGGGGTAAAGTTCATCTTTATTCATATCTCAGCTTCTTTTGCTCATAAGAATATGCTTAGGAGACTGCTTATCAATCACTGTGAAAGCAATGTTATTTCATGCCAACTAATTATTTTTTTTACTCCGTATATTATGTCTCTAAAACCTGATGGAAGTTATTCCATGCTGTGTTCACCCTGTGTTGTAGGAGGTTCACAATCTATTTTTGTTGAGTGGCACTATGGAGAAGTCCCAGGGGACCATAAGAACTCAGGGTAAAATAGGAGAGCATCAACAGGAGGATAGAACTGTTTTATCACAGTTGTAGTGGGTAATGGGGAGACTAGGAAAGCCTCCCTTGATAATAAAAATAGGTAAAGTTCACTTGGTGGGACTGATTGCCAGGAAGAAAAGTGAATATTTGTAGAGAGTCTATTAAAAAGTTTTTAAAGATAATGAAAAAGATCTGCCTATTCCCACTCATATTCCAGGAAAGACTAAGAATAATTACTACTTTAGAGGTGTTATTGCATAACTTCTTCAACTGCTGCTCTAATTTCTATTTTCTCACTATCAAATTATTTTCCAGCTCACATATAATATTAGCATGTTTTCCCTGATACATAGAGTTGTTATAATGTAGTCTACAGTAAAGCAACATAAAATATTAAGTAAATTTTAAGCTTTATTTAAATTCACATTTTAAAAAGTGCCTAAAAATTTGTTTGATCATAAAACCAAGCTTTGTAGAAAGCATTATCTTTCTTAGTGCATTGGGAATTCAGGTCAGGTTCAAGCTGAAACCAGTCGGCCTATGGCCCTGCTCTAATCCAAGCAGACCTTTCTGTTACTGTAAGGGAGTTAGTGGATGTATGGCAGCAAAAGTATCATTCACTTTACATAGATAATACAAAATTTTAAAATATACACGGTATTGTTACTGGAAAAAATTGATGTTAGTATAAGGGTGTGTTTCTGATATTAAGCTAGTTTTTAATAAAAACTATTTCAATTTCAGGCTTCCTTTCTGCATTGTAAAATAACACAGAGAAGGATAAATGTGATCACTTAAATTATTAAATTGAAATCATAAAAGTCAAGCAAAGGTGTAAGATTATTTTAAATAGGTTGTTTTCCTCATTTCAGAGTCTTTGGAATAAATTTTTTCAAGATAAAGAACTTCGATCAATGATTGAACAAGATGTCAAAAGAACGTATGTAGAACCTTGAGTAATTCAAATTAGTGTTACCTCTATGTAATTTTAGTAAAATACAGAATCCATAGAGGAGTTTTAATTGAATGCAGTATTCACCTTGTGTTAATAAAAAAGTTATTTTAGCCATTTTTGATAGTAATGATTGTTTTCTATTCTTAAAATGTAGATTTGTTTTCCCTTTCACAATGTAAATTATAATATTGATAATCTTAATATTCATTTTTCAGTTTTCAACAATGATTTGAAATTCATGTGCTTTTGATTAAGTTATATTATGTGGTCCTAATATTGGTATTGCTAGAAAAATTTGTCTCTTGATTTATACCTTTCTAACCAAATTACTTTTTAAATGGCAACTATTATTTTTACTGTCTTTATTTCCATCTCTCTCAAAGTCATTCAGGTTTGCAAACCACTTCTTTCAGTCTACTTATTATTTACCATGTGAAAGAGTTGTTTACTTAGTACATGACTAATACACATGACTTTTATATATTGGGCTTCATCTTTCTGGGTCATGTAGTGAGAAGTACATGGAATTTGTGTGGGAGGGTCCTAGGATAAGTTCTAGCAACACATGCTATAATCTTAGACCTATTACTTTCAAGGAACAGCTTTCCTCCTTTTCTGTAAAATGCGGATAATAGTTAACCTCAAAGGATTGTTGAGGATTAATAAATGTACATTGTAATAAGAGTATTTAGATAGACTTGCACTTTTTTTTGAAGATTTAGTCATCCTAGAGAAGAGAGAGAGTGTGTGTGTGCAGAAGAGAGGGTCAGAGGGAGAGAGAATCTCAAATGGACACAATGCTGAGCATGGAGCTCAATCTCATGACCCTGAGATCACAAACCTACATAATAACCTGAGCCAAAACTAAGAGTCAGATGCTCAACTGACTCTACCACCCAGGTGCCCCTCGATATGCTAACACTTTAAGCCATAAACAATTACATAAATGTCAGTAAATTTAATCACTGGATCTGGTATGGGCCATGTATTTGCATAGTCATGGATATTCCTAGTGCCTTCTTCCAGGTCCTTCTGCAGCTTCTCCTGTGTGCCCCACTGCTAGTTCAACTCTAGCTAGACCTGTTACAAGGTCAAGGCCTCCGGCTCTCTGACATTCACCTCTTTCCAGGTCCCAAATACTGAATAATTAGATGACTGCTATTAAGGTCATACTACTTACTGAATAAATCAGATTTCTAGTTTAAAATGAAAATCAGTGGAGGGATGCCTGGCTGGCTTAGTCAGTAGAACATGTGACTCTTGATCTTATGGTTTTGATCTCATGTTCCACATTGGGCCTAGAGCTTACTTTAAAAAATAAAAATGAAAACAGTGGAATTGTGGGTTCAGAGTATAACAGAACTCTACATTACTGGCAATGGTAGCAGGTTAGAGGGGTTGGGAGATATGGGATCATTTTGATGAGTTGGGTTATCTAGATAACCCAAGAGTAACCAATAATAGGGAAACTTCTCTCAGAGGCATTGAGTGGCTGTGCTTGACCTCTCGTATACAGTTTCAGAAAGTAGAATGCCCTTGTTTTGGTGTACAAGCAGCACTCAAACATTTGTTGGAAAAAAACAAAAAATGAATTTCCTCCTCAGTCATCTAAGTAAGTATGTTATCAGTGGCAGTAAAACAGGCCTCTTAAAAACAAAATGCATAGTATATATCGTTAACCAAACAGTAAAGGTATCTCTTTAAAAAAAAATTGCCAGCCAGTTACCTTAGAAAATTTGACATTTATAAGGCACTACATGATCTAAAACCCATGATTTTCAATCCAGTCTGTAAGGTACCTCATGATGTAATAGAAAAATAAAAGATGAAATAGAGCTCAGTGAATGTTACATAGTGTCACTCATTTACTAGCATCTCTGATAAGAATTTTGTTTTTTACTGTATGTTTATTGAGTGTCTACTATGTCCCAGCCTTACCCTTTGCCTTGCAGGAACAGAGTGATAAATAAGACAGATAAGATCCTGCTCTCATGGGATATACATTTTAGTGTCAGAGGGGTGGGGAAGTTAGGCAGTCATCATGTACAGATAGAGAATAATTGTAAAGGATGGTAATTGCTGTGAAGAAATAAAGCAGGGTGATAGGATAGTTAGAGGGATGGGAGTTTTAGGACAGGGATTAGAAAAGACATCTCTGAGAAGATGACATTTGAGCTGAGGTATGAAAATTTTAAAAAGCCAGCAATGTGAATACTTAGGGAAAGAACATTCCAGGAAGAGGGAACAGCTAGTGCAAAGCCCCTCAGTGAAAATAAGTTTGGTGTTTTGAGAAACTGAAGGGGTATGGAAGGGGTATGGTAGGTATGGCAAGGAGGTTAAGTGATTTAAGTAGGGAAATTTGGGAGAGAGCAAATGCCCGACAAGAAGTTCTATAGGCCACAGTAAGGAGTTAAGGTTTTATTCCAATTGCAATGGGAAGCCATTGAGCAGGGGTGTGATATCAAAAAGATCATTCTGGCTGCTGTGCAATGGGGGGTAGAGGTGAAGATGGAATCTGGGGCAGTAACTAAGAGTCTTGTGGTATGATTCCACATTAAGTTAGTGACTTAGATGAAAGATGTATTAATAAAGATGGTTAGGAATAGATAGGTTGGAGGATATGCATTTTGTATTTTTAAGTATTAATTAAGAGGTCATATGTAGTTTTCTTATATTCATCAGTTTTCCATTTTTGCTTCCATCTTGGATCCTTTTTTACCTCCTATCTAGAGTCTTTAACTTGTTTAATTGTTGTCTTCAAATATGTTCTCTTTCTCCTCCAGTAAAATCCATGTATTACAGCCTTATTTTCTCAAAGCACATTTCTGATCATGCTACTTGACTAATCTAAAGCCTTCTCTGAATCTCTGTGGTCTTAGAAGAATGGACTTACCCAGACCTCCTAACACATGGTTCCCTTCTAGAGTTTTCCGGCTCTCTTTCTGTTAAATGTCTAGTTTAACTCTACTGTAGTCTGAGAGCAGACACTGCATGATTTCTCCTCTGCCATCTTGGTTTCGGTATGTTTTGTGGTCCAGAATGTGGTATATCTTGGTGAATGTTCTTTGTGAGCTTGAGAAAATGTGTATTCGGCTGTTGTTGGTTGGAAAAGTACATAGATGTCAGTATATTCAGTAGATTGATGATGTTGAGTTCACCTATATCCTTTTCTGCCTGCCAGATCTGTCTGTTTCTGATGGACAGGCATTAAACTTGCCAACCATAATAGTGGATTTTAAAATTTCTCTTTGCAATTTTATTGGTTTTTGCTTCAGACAGTTTGATGCTCTTGTTAGGTGCATACATGTTAAAGATCAGTATGTCTTCTTGGAGAATTGACCCTTTTATCATTATGTAATGCCCTTTTTAAAAAATATTTTAATTAGTGTTAGCCTGGTACATTTTCCTCCATTCACTTACTTTTAATCTAAATGTGTTTTTATATTTAAAGTGGGTTCTTTGCAAGCAACATATAGTTGTCATATTTTTGATTCACTCTGACAATCTCAGTCTTTTAATTGGTGCATATAGACTGTTGACATTTAAAGTGATTATTTTTTTTATTATCTATCATATTTGTTACCTTGTTCTTTGTTTCTTTTATCATCTTCCACCCTTTTTTTTATTTATTTTTTTTTATCTTCCACCCTTTTATAGCCATTGTAGTTTTGAGTATTTTATATTCATTTTCTTTCCTTTCTCAGCATACCAATTACACTTCTTTTACTTTTTTAGTAGTTGATTTAAATTTTGCAATCTGTATTTTATGTAATCCAAATCCACTTTCAAATAACACTATACCACTTCACTGATAGGGTACTTCATAATAACAAAATAATCCTAATTCCTTCCTCATATCCTTTGTGCCATTGCTGTTATTTCATGTATATATAAGCATATATATGTATATACACACACACACACACACACACACCCCTATGTATGTTTGTATATATGCACACCTATAAACATACATAATTGAATACATTGTTGGTATTACTATTTTATTTTTATTATTATTATTATTATTATTATTATTATTATTATTATTATTATGATAGTCACACACAGAGAGAGAGAGAGAGGCAGAGACACAGGCAGAGGGAGAAGCAGGCTCCATGCACCGGGAGCCTGACGTGGGATTCGATCCCGGGTCTCCAGGATCGCGCCCTGGGCCAAAGGCAGGCGCTAAACCGCTGCGCCACCCAGGGATCCCGGTATTACTATTTTAAATAGCTGGTATCTGTTATATCAATTGACAATAAGAAAAATAAAAATTTTTATTTTACTTATTCCTTCTTATGTTCTTTCTTTATGTAAATCTAAGTTTCTAACCTATATTATTTTCTTCTTTTCTTTGAAATAATTTCTTGTGAGGCAGGTCTACTGACGACAAATTCCCTCAATTTTTGCTTGTCTGAGGAAGTCTGTTTCTCCTTTACTTTTAAAGGATAATTTCAGAGGATACAGAATTCTAGGTTGATGTTTTTCTTCTGTTAGCAGTTTTAATATTTCACTTCACTCTCTTTTTGCTTGCATGGTTTCTAAGTAGAAGTTGGATATTATTCTTGTCTTTGTTCCTGTATAGGTAAGGTGTTTTGTTGTGTTTTTTCCCCTCTTTAAGGACTTTATCTTTGATTTTCTGTAGTCTGAAGATGATAATATGCCTAGGTATAACTCTTTTGGCATTTACCCTGCCTAGTGTTCTCTGAGCTTCCTGGATCTGTGGTTTGGTGTCTGACGTTAATTTGGGGAATTTTTCTGTCATTATTGCTTCAAATATTTCTTCTCTTTCTTTCTGTGTCCTCTCCTTCTGATATTCCCATTATGCGTTATTTTACATCTTAGGTAGTTGTCCCACAGTCCTTGAATTTCCTGTTCTGCTTTTTTGTTTTTCAGTCTTCATTCTCTTTGCTTCTCAGTTTTCAAGAATTCTGTCGATCTGTCCTTTAGCTCAGAGTCTTTTCTCACTTCTGTCTCGTCTA